CGGCGCGCGCTCCCTCACGCCTTGTTCTCCAGCAACTATGGCCGTGCTGAGGTAGGGAGCGGGGCTGCAGCCCCCTAGCCCGTGGCCAGGGGCAGAGCAAGAACGTTTGATTACTCTGGTCACCCCTTGCTAGGCAGAAACGGCCCTCGACACCCTATCGCGGCAGGTACACGCTTTTAGAAACAGCCTTTACACACCTGCAGTCAAAACCAAGATTCATTAGCCACACTGTACAATCACAGTCTCCTTATATATTTAGGTGTTGAAGTGGATGTTTAGTTTTTTTCTGTAGCACCAAATGTCTTTTCTAAACCTGACTTTATCTGACAACAAAAGTACCTCTTTACATCACATTTAAATTTCCAAGTATATCAGAAAATTAAGGAGATAGCAAAAACACCAATTGTTTATCTCAGAATGATCAAAATTAGTATAATCTCTGCAAAAGTCAGAGCAATGTTTTTGCATTTTTCTGGATCTTTATTGAAAGAAATATTAACACATTTCATGTGTTAAGCCAGTGTTTTACTGATGATTTACCAGTGTTAACATCCAGTGGTGCTGAGGATATGATCAGTTATCTGGCTACCTGCTGCCAGATTATTAAGGTGAAAAAATAGCATTAGCATCATCAGATCTCTGCAAAAGTCAGAGCAATGTTTTTGCATTTTTCTGGATCTTTATTGAAAGAAATATTAACACATTTCATGTGTTAAGCCAGTGTTTTACTGATGATTTACCAGTGTTAACATCCAGTGGTGCTGAGGATATGATCAGTTATCTGGCTACCTGCTGCCAGATTATTAAGGTGAAAAAATAGCATTAGCATCATCAGTAAGTTTTCAGCAGTTATTCATATCTTTCTTATATACACTTTAAGACAGCTTGAAACAAGTTTCAAGTTTTCAGCATATCAAAACACATTTTCAAGTCAGGTTTTTGTAAAGAAAAGAAACAGCAAACAGCTCAGTGCAGACACCAATAAAACCATGTCCCAACAAATTTGCTGAAACATTTTTATTTCTGCTTGTGTCAAACTGCCTTCAACAGAAATTACTCAATTTCCTTTAACAGTTTACAGTCCTTACAACACATTAATTTTAACTTCCCCTGATGCTGAAGTATTTTGCTGTACTTGCTCATTATACCAGCTGACAATGACTTATTTTGCCTCCAATAAACACACAGCAATTTATTTTCCAGCACTGCAGGAATGTACCCTGTATAACAGCAAGCTGTCAAGCACTTTTCCAGGCTTGAATATACCTGGGAAATTCATAATTTTATTCAGCTCATCCTGATGGTCAAGTAAAATCAACTGTTCTGTGAATGAGTTACTTATGCAAGAATCCAGGTCTATAGAATCACTGATGATTAGAACCTAGGTTTTTCCTAAACATGTTCTTTTGGTATTCTGTTCAGCAAATCCCCAGCTGAGGCATGTACTATAACAGCTCCAATTTTAAAACTTAGGGTTTTTTTTAATCTCTGGATAAACTTTCCAGATAGGTTAACAAATAGCCTGTTATTTAGTTTGGATAAGTCAGATATTTCAAGAAAACACTGTTTTGTTAACTCCTGTAACCTGGGGCAAGTGTACAGCATTGGTGCTTTTTTTGTTGAAGGAAGTCAGACATCTGGAATTACAGAATTCGGTAGAATCTTTTCCTTGGAGATACCCTAACACATGAAGAAACTTGGGCACAGAATTTGCTATTATATAAAATCTAAAAAGCTCTATCATTATTATTATTTTTTTTAAAATTCAAATACTGCTCAAGTGCTCTGGAATCCCATTTTCTTTATTACCTGCAGCAGTAGTTCATTTCTATCTTCATATCTTAAATTCTCATCCTGTCACTTCATCTTTTTTACCTTGAAGTGGTTATGCCTTTGCAGAAGGTCTCTGGCAACTTCCTTCTATGACCCATCCTTACAAGTCAGTATGTTTCTTGTTACATTGCTTAGGTTACACCCATGCCTGATGTTACACCATCCTGTTTTGGGCAATTGCACAATGCAGAAGAGAAAGACATTCAAGTCAAGATACTCAAGTATATAACTGGAAGAAAAATATCAGGTAGGTATTTTTATTTATAGCTGTTATTTGTTTTTGACTGTTCTTTAAAAAAGTAAAGAAATAAAAGCAGAACTTTTTTTAAAAGGCATATCCATTCCTTTAAGAGTATGGTTAACTAAACTGTCCTTATTAAATTTATTTCTCAAAGGATCCTTTTCATTGTTCAAAGCATGCTGACAGCACCTTTGGTTCTATGTTGAGACAGTTAAAGCATATACCATAAGATATCATGCCTCTGAGCTTCAGAGGTGCTAAAGATTCCTCCCCACCTTTATACTTACTTCTGGTCTTACCAGTTACTCAGCCAAGTGATCTGTTCAGTTGTCTCAGTTTACACCAAACTATATCCAAATCCCTTGGAAAGCCACATTTCTGCAATATGAGACTAATCAGATCTTTAAGGTCTTTTTTCTTTCTCTCTTTTATAGAGAGTATAGTTTAATAGTTAGAAATATGTAAGCATATCTCAGTTTCTTGTCATGAAAGACATATAGTCTTTTTTCTTCTGACTGAGAAGACCAGGTAGGTTTGCTTGGTGAAACAAAAGGAATCAGGAGTCAAGGGTAGTTGTGGTACAGTGCCTTCTCCAACCTGGTATGCTTCTGTAGTGCTTGAAGAGAGTAAGACACTAGTAAGAGGATCCTGCCTAGGTGCGGCAAGAGAATGAAGTGGATGCAGGGTCCATCCTGGGAGGCTGATAAGGAGCAGTAGGAAAAAGGGCCCAAGACAAGACTAAAAACAAGTCTAGGGACCTTCTAGACGACAGGTTTAGCAACAAGCCCTTGGGAGGTATAAAGAAAGGGAAGAGAGAAAGAAAAGAGAAAAAGAACATAGGGGAAAACATTCCCTGCTTTCCTGTCCCCAAAAGGAAGAAAAGAAGAAAGAAAAAAAAAATCCCACACAAAACAGAAACACACACATGCAAGATTTAAAAACAAGCACACTTACAGCATTGCTGGTCTGTGTGTGGTTATGCAGGGTCTATGTGTGCAGGCCTGAGCTTAAAAAGGGTTCCTGGGCCAATGAGCAGTGTGGGTGGTTGGAAGCCTCAGGTGAGGCTGGTCTGAGCTGTTAAGGTGTTAATGTCACCCTGACAGTCCCTACCTGTAGTATGCAAATGAGGTCTTTACAGGACAAATATTGAGTCTCTTAAATCATTGAGCTTGCAGATAGAATGGTACCAAATTTCTCTATCTAAGCAGGCCCTTTCTTTTATTTCAGGTGGAGGGAGAAGACTTGCACTTCTGGTCCACTGCTATTATGTGATGAGCCAACTGCACCCAGGCAGCATCCAGAATGGCAGGTTTGTGCACAAGGAAAAATAGCCAGTGCTTTCATAAATGTACTGTTTGCTGCCAGAGTATCTGTGTTTACCGGCCAGATGTAGCACAGTTGTTCTGTGTACATGTATTACATTCTTCATGCACAAGCATGTAGTGAACAAAGAGCCAAGTTTCTCCCCCAAGAAATGGAAAATGGAAGCAAATGACTGCCACAAGTGAGGACATTCTGTGTGGCTTAGAGGTTGCTGTCAAATGACTCTTTTGCAAGGGTGGTAGCAAACCTGACCCAAATCTGGAAAGTTGTTTGGTAGAACTGCATGTAATCTCTAGGACACGGGTCAAGAGTATCTGACAAGAATGTACTTGGAATATACTGGACCTGTACCATATTGTGAGTTAGGAGATGACTTCATAGTCACTCCTGGCCTCAGTTCTCATAAAACAGTATTAACTCTCAAAATATCCATGTTCAGCATGCTTACAAACATTAACTTTTTTTCAGTGCCAATCAGGCAGGTAGATATTATCTAAAGAACCAAGGCCAAGAAAGACTGCATGAGGAAGTTGTTGTTAAAACCACAATTAGAATTCAAGTGTTTCTGCATTAAAAAAATCATATTATTCAAGACTTTTCTCTTTCAGACATTGCCAACTCACAAGTCTGTGGGTGATTTATCTGATTTTCTGTATTACGGATACAAAGACATTAGTGGTTGTCTTGGATTAACCTAGGTTCATGGGCATAGCACCACACAAGTGCAGTGCCTAGCTTCCAAGTCCAGTCAGGGTGCAGGCTGGTCAGCTTGGTGCACTGGAGTCTACTAAATGTGAGGAAGATTTGCAGGGCAAATGCTTTAATCCATGTTTTGTAATCACAGGAGGAGCCAGGTGCAGTGTCTCAGCATGCGCTTATAGTATTAAGGCAGGCAAGCTTAGATCCCGTCTTTCCCCTACAAAACAGTTTGGGTGTTTTTGCAATGTAATTTCTGCAGTCTTTGGTTTCTAGAGGACTTAACTCAGATTCAGCATCAGTGATATCTAATGTCAAACCCTTCCCAGCCTGGACTGGTGAT